GAGGGACATTTTATCTACTCCTTAATTTTGAGACAAGATCTTTTTTTTAATCTTCCATAAGGTCTCTCAAAAAGAGAAATATTAGATTAAAGCAATGGACATCAATGCTTGATTCAAAGTGATCTTATGCAAAAGCTCTTGAATCTCATTTGATCTCAAATTCAATAAATTTTCATGGTGCTTGCCAACGTCGAGCTTTTTAACCGTTGGATCAGTGTTACTCGATTTTTATTTGAAACAAATACTAGCTATAGTAGCCATTCTTGCCATGAAATATGAGACCAGACAGATGATCTCATCTTTTTTATCTGTCTAATTACAAACCACTAATAGTCAGAGAGAATACATGGAAATAGTGGAAGCAATATATAACTTCATCCCAAGAAAATGAAACAAGAAAAAAAAAAATAGTAGAAATAGTAATACAAAGATTAATTTATTATCAACTAATTAAATTATTATCCTCTCTTATTTAACTCTCCATAACAGAGCAAAGCTCAATGGGGCCATAATCAAGCAACTCTTGAATCATCTGCTCAATGTGATCATCCTCAAGAGTCTGAACGAACGTCTGCTCCCCGTTACCAGACGGGCTTTCGCAAAGGACGCTTTTGCTCGCAATCGGGCTGCTTTGGCCATTGTTTCTGCCGAAGCCCAGCCCGTGATCAGGCCCGCTTACACTGCTTAAAGTTTGCTTTTTTCCAATCTTAAGGGAGGCCGCCTGGCATTTCTGGAGCTTGGCCATTAGAGTGGAGGAGATGAGCCTGGCCGACGAGGATTGGGCCTCGTTGGCATTGTACGCGAAGTTTGTTCGGGCCCTCGGCCCGCACATGATCCGGGCGGCCTCGTCGTAGGCCTTGGCCGCGTCCTCCGCCGTCTCGAATGTGCCCAGCCATATTCTCGTCTTTCTGGATTTCCAAATAAAAATAAAAGGTAAGAAAAATGTAATTAAGATGCCAATGAAATAGTAAGTAATAATTTTCACAGTGAGGATAATTTAAGAGAGAGAGAGAGAGTAATTACAGAAGAGGGTGGCGGATTTCAGAGACCCAAGAACCCCAGTGGCGCTGCCGTACGCCTCTGTAACGCTGTTGAGGTCTGGCCATGCTGATTTTTATAGCTCCACTAATCTTCTTTACAATTTTTTTT